GGGGGTGTTGGGTTGACGGTTGGACTCAATGATCTTAGAGGTCTTTCCCAACCTCAATGATTCTGTGATTCTATGATCTCCCCAGCCTGGCCGGCCGGCCGGCTGCCCGCCCGTCCCTCCCGCCTCTGCCCCTCCGTCTGTCCCTCCAGCCGGCAGAGGAAGGGCGCTCGTCCGTCCGTCCGTCCGTCCGTCCGTCCTGCCGCCGCTCGGATCCTTCTGGCCGCTCACCGATGCTGGACGGTCGCCATCCGGTCACGCAGCCAGGCTGCGCCGGCACCCGCTCCTCTGCCTGCATCCGCCGAGCCGATCAGCACGGAAACGTCAGCTGTCCGTGGGCGTAGCTGGCCTCTGTCTGTCTGTCTGTCTGTCTGTCCCCCATCTGTCCACCCACCTATTCATCTACCTACCATCTCTATGCATCCATCCATCTAACCCTTCAGCCACCCCTCCATCTACCTAACCCTCCGTCCCTCCGTCCGTCCCTCCGTCCGTCCGTCCAGCAGGCCAACCCTCCATCCCTCCAGCCGGCCAAGCCAGCCGACCGGCCGGCCCTCCCGCCACCCACTCTTGGCTTTGGGTTAGGGGTTGGGGGGGGGTCTACGCGGGGGCACCTCTGTGAGCAGACCCCGCTCGATCGGGTGCTTGACGCGCCGCAGGGAGAGCGCAGGGGCGCCTGGGTCCCCCGTGGGACGGGTGGAGGTCCCTGTGCAGCCCCCGCCATGACTCCGTCCAACCCCTAATGTCTCCATCCAACCCCAACCTCTCCATCCAACCAACCCCCCCCCATGTCTCCATCCAACCTGTGTCTCCATCCGACCACGTCTCCAGCCAACCCCTAATGTCTCCATCCAACCCCAACATCTCCATTCAATCTACGACGTCTCCATCCAACCCCCAACGTCTCCATCCTAAACCCAGTGTCTCTATCCAACCCCAGCATCTCCATCCAGCCCCCAAACATCTCCAGCTGACCCCAAACATCTCCTGCTGACCCCCAAAAAGCTCCTGCCGACCCCAAACATCTCCAGCTGACCCCCAAACATCTCCAGCTGACCCCAAACA